TTTGTTTGGGCAATTTGGTACAAGTTAGGCAGAGGAACCAAAGGGGGAATTATGTCAGGAACATAGACAAGAAGAGATAATGTAGATAATACTTCCGTGGTAAAAATTCTCAGATGCTCACCTTTTTTACATAAAACGGCATATATACTTTTCTTCATGCCCCTTGTATTGTTTTTTTTGTTTTTTTTCTGAGACAGAGTCGTGTTCTGTCACCCATGCTGGAGTGCAGTGGCACAATCTCGGCTCACTGCAGCCTCAACCTTTTCGGCTCAAGCAATCCTCCCACCTCAGACTCCTGGGTAGCTCGACCACAGTCACCATGCCCAGCTAATTAAAAGAATTTTTTTTTGTAGAGGGGATCTCACCGTGTTGCCCAGACTGGTCTCAAATTCCTGGGCTCAAGCAATCCTCCCACCTCGGCCTCCCAAAGTGCTGGGATTACAGGGGTCAGCCACCACACACAGCCCTGATTCAAATTTCTTATCAGCAAAATGGGAATAAAACAAGAAAAGCTTGTCTTGGCAGGCTGGACAAGGCTGTGTGTCTCAGGACAGGGCCCTCACTTCCCACCCATGTGTAAAAGCAGCTACAGATCAGAGACACTCCCTGGACACCCACCCTGTCATGACAGGGACCCCGGGGACGCAGCCCCTACCTTGTATGGGGAGATGTGCGTGTCAGGGGGGAAGGCCAGCATGCCCATGGCCTGGCGCACCTCGTCCAGCTGGCTCCCTTCTGCTTGGCTGAAGTGCTTTCTTGCATGTCTGAAAAACAACATTTTGGCACATTTCAGTTTGCATTTTCATTTTAGAGACAGGATCTGACTCTGTCACCAGGCTGGAGTTCAGTGACACAGTCACAGCTCACTGTAGCCTTGAACTCCCAGGCTCAGGCGATCCTCCCGAGAAGCTGAGACCACAGATGTGCGGCACCACGCCCAGCTAATGTAAAAAAACGTCCTGTTAGAGACAGAGTCTCGCTGTGTTGCCCAGGCTGGTCTTCAACTCCTGGGCTCAAGCCATCCTCCTGCCCCGGCCTCCCAACGTGCTGGGATTATAGGCATGAGCCATTGCACCTGGCCTGCATTTTTAAGTTGAAAAATCTGAGCTAACAGCCTGAGTAATCACCTCACTCCAAGCGGACCTGCTGGGTGGGGCTGGAATGGTGGGAGATGCGGCTCACCAGGGGCTGGAGGAGCAGCCACAAGACCCTTCTTCCTCCAGTGACAGGGCACCAAGCCACACATGCAACCCACAGAAAACACCAGAACTGCACATGGCACCTGCCCTGAGCCCTCTCAAAGCGATTCTGGTTTACAAGGAACCCAAACCCTGAGGACGCCCACTGCCCCAGATGCTCACCCCCGCAGCCCCAGCGGACCAAGAGCCTGTAGTCTTCCCAGGTGCAGTCCTTGCTGTTTGGAAGGTTTTCCAAAGGACAGCCACCTCCCTCAGCCCACAGGCTGCACTCTGCAGATCTGGCCCAAGCCTGTCGGCCCTGAGTGTGCCACACACCACATGCAGCTGTGATCTTTCCTGAGCTGACTCTGCAGGACGCGTACACCCGCTCCAGGCCAGAACCCAGCCCAGCCTGGGGCTGCACAGCCAAGAAACCAAAGCAGAGCACAGCAGGTCCCTTTCCAGCTGCCCAGCACCCCATTCTCATGCCTTCCACACAGCAGCACCATCCCTCAGGCTGTCAGGGCCTGCACCCCCACGTCCTCGGCTCTCACATGGGCCCTTATGCACTCCCACGTCCTTGGCCCTCACACGGGCCCTTGTGTACCCCCACATCCCAACCCTCATACGGGCCCTTGTGCACCCCCACATCCTCAGCCCTCACATAGGCCCTTGTGCGCCCCCACGTCCTGACCCTCACACATGCCCTTGTCCTAACCCTCACACGGGCCCTTGTGCGCCCCCACGTCCTGACCCTCACACGGGCCCTTGTCCTGACCTTCACACGGGCCCTTGTCCTAACCCTCACACGGGCCCTTGTCCTAACCCTCACACGGGCCCCTGTGCGCCCCCACGTCCTGACCCTCACACATGCCCTTGTCCTAACCCTCACACGGGCCCTTGTCCTAACCCTCACACGGGCCCTTGTCCTAACCCTCACACGGGCCCTTGTGCGCCCCCACGTCCTGACCCTCACATGGGCCCTTGTGCGCCCCCACGTCCTGACCCTCACACGGGCCCTTGTCCTAACCCTCACACGGGCCCTTGTGCGCCCCCACGTCCTGACCCTCACACGGGGTCTTATGCACTCCCATGTCCTCAGCCCTCGCATGGGCCCTTATGTACCCCCATGTCCTGACCATCACATAGACCCTTGTGCACCCCCACATCCTGGTCCTCACACGGGCTCTTAGGCACCCCACATCCTCAGCCCTCACGTGAGCCCTCGTGTACCCTCATGTACTCAGCCCTCATGTGAGCCCTTATGCACCCCCACGTCCTGGCCCTCACACAAGCCTTTGTGCACTCCCATGTGCTGGCCTTCACACAGGCCCTTATGCACCACCACATCCTGGCCCTCAGACAGGCCCTTATGTACCCCAGGTCCTCAGTCCTTGGTACACCTCTCCCAAAGCAACCCCAATGCAGAGAACCAGGGGCCTCAAGTCCCCTGTGTGAGTCAGCCCTGTGCTGTCTGGAACAAGGCATGTACCCAGGAACACGGAGCTAGCTGAGGAGGTGCCGGGCGCTCACAGTGGCCTTGAAGAAGACGTGGTGCCTGGCAGAGACCAGATTTGGTGCAGGAGGTGGCCCAGCAGCCCCTTGAGGGCCAGCACAGTGACCACGTGGTAGAAGCACCACCAGGGGAGCCTGGGCAGCAGTGAGTGGGGGGCATCCAGGTTTGGGACACAGCCTGGGGAGGCCACACAGGCAACCCCACAGAGTGTGTGCAGGGACTACAAGCCAGAGATGTGTCCACACAGCTGACCCCACAGTGTGCGCAGGGACTACAAGCCAGAGGTGCGTCCACACAGCTGACCCCACAG